AGGCAAGCACATGAATCTGGGCGAACGTCTTGAGACTTTAGTTGTCACGCATCTATAAGTGCTGGTTTATGCTTTCTTGCCACGGGCTATTGTCAGGGAGAGACCTTTTTTGAGATGTGCTCCATCAGCTATAGTTTTCTCTGGTGATCTGGTCACTGCTATGTCCCTGCTTCCAATTCCACGGTTGCTTGATGGCTGTTTTCGGGGAAATTCCTGTGCCGAACGGGCCGAACATGGCAACTTTTGCTGGGAAACATGATGATTCCCGATGGACATGGGGGAAAAAACACTAACCCTCTGGTGATTTAGCATAGCTACGGAACATAAACTTTAACCCTTTTCAAAAAAAACGGTAATTGCTCAATCACCGTAGCTATGCTAAGTGTTAATAAACTATTGGATCATTAAGTAGTAACAATCCCATAAGTAATCAACATTGACTTTGGGATCATCTAAGTCTAAGTGTTAATTACCCTTTAAACTCATGAAAATAACTGATGGTAATCATCCAACTGTTAACAGTTCGCGCCTCAGAGCTTTGTTCAGGCACGGAGTGCAGCAAGTGGAGCAAGTGCAGCTCGAGCCTATCCAGGTGGATGATGTGGTTCCATCGACACCTTGGAAATCACCACAAGATCATGTAGAAAGAGGGCGAACTATGAGAGGGTGATTAATGGATAATAATGGATGATTAATGGATGATTAATGGATGATTAGGGCAAACTAGATCATCACCTTGAATATTAATGGATGATTAATGATAAATAGTGGATGATCAATGGATGACTACTGGATGACTATTGGATGATGACTATCTGGTGGTTTCATGAAATATGAAGTGCTTGCTTCGAAAAAAATGCAGAAGACTTTTCAGATTGCCCAACATAAATCAAGCTGCTAGTTGCACGCTTTGACTCTCAACTGGTTGCGTTTGTTAATTAAAATCCATCAGGAGGACAGCCTGAAAAGATACAATTGCGGTAGTTACGGAGTTGATACAGTAAATAATTGGTAATTATGACGCTTGGCGATTGATAAATATAAGACCGTTGGTTGGAAATTCAATCAAATCTAATTATCAAGATTAGGGTCAATCTGAATGTTCAATCTAATCTGGTTGGTGATTTGGAACATGTTATTTTTCCATCTATTGGGAATTTCATCATCCCAACTGACGAACTCATATTTTTCAGAGGGGTAGGTATACCACCAACCAGTAATGGTTCCATTGGCCAATTGCTAGAGATTTGATCTAATCAAAACATATCATCATATCACTGTGGGGATCACAAAAAAGCAACGTGCTTAATTTCTACCTGGCCCTCATGGAATCCGAAGAGAGGGAAAGGCCTTGTGAAAGTGTTGTGAAAATGGCAGGCATCCTGGCAATTGAAGAAGGACACCGTTGTGACAGTGAAACAACAGACCTGTTGCTTCTATGTGATTATGTAAAGGTCTCCAAAGTCATGGGGTTAACCCCAAATCATCCAAAATTACAGAAACCCCCATGTTTGAAATGGAATCTTATTGAATTGGAATTGCCTAACGCAGGAAAAACCACGCAGTGATCCATCGATGGATCATCATTCTTCCCCACGAAAAACGGCCATGAGATGTGGATGCATACATCATTTTCAGAAGTAAACATACCGCTTATGGATCTTAATTGTGGAGTATGATACATACATACAGACAGACATACATACAGACATACAGACATACAGACATACAGACATACAGATATACACACATACACATACACACACACATACACACATACACACATACACACATACACACATACCCACGTACGCACGTACGCACGTACGCAAGTACGCACGTACGTACATATGTACATACGTACATACCTACATACCTACATACATACCTACCTACATACCTACATACCTACATACGTACATAGGTACATACGTACATACGTACATAGGTACATACGTACATACGTACATACGTACATACGTACATACGTACATACGTACATTCGTACATACGTTCATACGTACATACTTACATACGTACATGTGTACATACGTATGTATATATATAATACATATATATATATATTCAATATATATTATATATATTATATATATATACATATGTATAAATACATATATGTATATGTAGATATATATATATATATACATATCCCCATTTATTGGCTGTATCCTCCTGGTTTTGATGTTATCAAAATGTCATATGCATATTGGCGATACACTGTATATTTCTCATTTGCATTCCATATCATACCATATGAATATTACATCCACATGGTGTACCCAATAAAGCCCTATACTGTTGGTTATATCCCCATTGTATCCCTATCTCTTGCCCCAATGCATCCCCATTGATGGTAAATATCTTCCCATCATGTCAGATCCCCACCATGTTCGGTTAAATGGTTGAGGCCTCACATTTTACAGGTTAAATAGGCCTAAAACGGCGATGTTCATGGTGATAATTGCATTAAAAAAACAATGTTTTTTTGGGGGTTCACTGTGGAAAAACCCTACATTTTCAGACAACGCCCAAATCATATTGAGTTGGTTTAAAAACTGGTTGGTGGTTTCAACGATGTTTTATTTTCCTTTTTATATATGGGATGTCATCCTTCCCATTGACGAGCTCTTATTTTTCAGAGGGGTAGGGCTCAACCACCAACCAGTTGTGACTATGATATAAACTATGATTATAATTGTAACTATTATGATGATTATAATATAAATTATGACGTTATAATCCCAACTGATATGATGATTATAATCTGATGATAATCCCCTGATCCCATGATAAACCTCATAGATCTTCCCTATCTCCAGATCGCCCTGATGGGACGCCAGCACATCTTCCAGCTTCCAAGGCCAGGCCCTTTGAGTAAACCCAGGGTCAAAAGCCATTGGACACGGGGAAAAATCATCAGAAAAATGTGGGAAAATGATATGAAATCTTAGGAAAATGCAGGTTTTCATGGGAACATCATGAGAAAATCATGGCGAATCCCTTAGACATGGATGATAGGGTTATTGTGGATGTTTATCGTCCAAAGTCCATTCCCTGTGGTATTTTCATAGTATGTGATGGATTCCCACATGCGAATCAGTTTTCGTTGGTGTTTTTTTGAACAAGAAGAAAACCACATGATAAAAAAAAACACATCGATCTTTATGAGGAAGAAGTGCCGCTGCAATGAGATGTGCAACATGTTTCCGCATTCTCATGTTGCTGTGACAATCAATCCACGACTTTCAAGGGCTCCTTTCACCAGGCTGCAAGTGCCGATGTGATTGATAAGGTGAACTTTGCCCAGAACTGTTCCATTATTTTCATTTACCCTCCAGCTAACATAGCTATGGAAAATGGATGAACATAGCCAATCTATAGCTAGTTTATCTGATATCTATCTGTTTGAAATGGTGAAGTTTCTATAGCGAGTGAGGCAAGTTGGTGTATACACACCACTATCTAACTATATGGTTCATTATATCAACCGTAAACAACAGAATTTACCAAGTTATATGCGTTAACTCAGCTATTGGATGGGGGCCTCACCTTGTAACTTAGACAACTAAGAAGACTCCCATGAAATCCCATGAACTTCTCATTGGTGGATAAACCATGTTAAACCATCATTTGTTTCACCATATTCCTATGATTTTTTCCCCGCCGTTGTCTGTGCATTTTTGAGGCGATACCAAGTACACCAAGTTGGGCGGCAGCCATCTGCAGGTGGTTTTTCTGTGGGATGCCTGGTGTAGAATGGGGTCGCTTGGAAAAAACAAATAGGGTATGCAAATTATATCAGATCAGTAAACTACAACTTATCCAGGTACACGATATTTATGGATATTTATGGCAATGTGTGTCATTTTTTCACAGGGAAAGTGATGATTGGGGATTGGGGTGGTATCCTATGTTCAGGAAAAAACACATATTGATGGTGCGGTTTGATGTTCAATCACTCTGTACTTGGGATGATGATTATTATTATTATTGTTGTTATTGTTATGGTGAATATTATTGATGATGAAGATTATAAAGACGAAGATGAAGATCATGATCATGGATGATGAATATGATGAGTATTATGAAGATGAAGATGAATATAAAGAAGATGGACATGAACAAGAAAACAATAGAAAACATGAGCATATGCATGCACCAGAATCGAAGCGTACTGATCAAATCAAACAATTCTTGGTGGAGATCTCAGTGACTTGAGTGAGATGTGTTGTCGGGTTGCAGATGGTAAACACACATAGCAAAATCTTAAAATCATAAGGCATCATAAAACACTATTTATTATATATTAATATATATATATATTAGTCTTAAAAATTCAAGGCTAAGTATGAAGACAACGAATGATAAAACACAAAAAATCTATGTCATTCTATTTCAGTGTTATGTTTTTTTTTGTTAGGCTTTATTCTTTCGATGTTTGTTACATCCTCATTCCGTACCTGGCTCGAGGGGCGCAGACCTCAGATGGGATGCGATTTTTAGATCCCGTTCCAGTTGTCCAAAACAGATTAGGAATGAGATGGAAAGAGCGTGTTTTGGGATATAACAATAATATAACTGATATATAACAATAGTGGTCATGATTGATAAATGATATAACTGATATCCCAAAACAATAATAAAACAATAATGTTCACATTGACCATTATTGTTATATTATCAATATATATATAACATATATAACAATAATGGTCGTCATAATGACTCCAAATCAATCCTTCCAGGTTTTTTTTCGAGGCAAAAAAGAGACTGACCTCCTCCAGTGAGCGCTGACCCAAACGAACCATGTTGACTGCAAGGGGATTTCTGGCCATGTTGACTCCAGAGGCGGTAGCCAAAATATGCGAAAATGATGGATTCCATGATACAAACATGATGGAACATGCAATTCACTTGAGTTTCTTCAGCTCATCTTACTACTTTCAGCACCAAAAATCATCATTTCCTGTAGGGAAACCCTCTGAACGCAGCGTGTTGGCGGTCGCCGGGGCCCAGCGTTTCTGCCCAGCATGGGTAGCGGGGCTTCGGGTGCGGGCAACGCCCGCACCGAGAGCAAGGAAGGCGGACAGTCGGATGTGGCGTTGAAGCGACGGTGGTGAGTTGACATGTTTGGATGATCCATGACTACCTGATTGGTGGTGACTGGAACTTGTGGATAATAATGGTTAATAATGGTTAATGATGGTTAATCATGGATAATAATGGTTAATGATGTTGGTTAGTGGTGATTAATGACTGATTGGTGGTTTGGAACCATGGATTTTTATGACTTTCCATATATTGGGAATGTCATCATCCCAACTGACGAACTCATATTTTTCAGAGGGGTAGGTATACCACCAACCAGTATATGATCCATGTTTGATTTTCTCCAGCAAAGACTGTATCCCAGACTAACTAGTCATATGATCCATGTTTAGATGATATGCCCAACGTTGATTTGGTGACACCCCTAGTGTCCCCTACCAAATACTTAGTTAAAAACATGAATATACAGTGTTTGTATGAGTGTGTGCCAAACAAATGGAGGGATTCGCATTGGATATGATTAAGCACCATGTATTGATGTAGGTCTGTTGAGTACAGACAATGTGATCCCAGAGTCAATAGACCACCTTTTTGCCGATAAGGTACCTCAATGCTAATGGCAGTTTATCACTATCTTTTTTGGTTGACCCCAATAATAAGATGTTATCAAGGGCGCACCTGAAAAAGCCACCAGGAACCACTTTTGTGATCTCATCCCCCAATGTTAAACACCCCCTAAATCCAAAACAGTTCCAAATAATCCCAAATATATGGTTTCATCCTATACTTTTGACATCTAAAGTGATCATTGTTTCTGCACTGTGTAGAAAAAATGAACAGAAGATGGGATTATCAGTATCAACTAGATGGTGTGATTTTAATATCCCCAGGATTGGTGAAAGTTTATACCCAATCCCAAAGGGTTGTGCTATACTACGGTGGGTATCAATTGGAATTTCAGTGATCCTAAAATCGAGCTACTGTACCATACAAAGATATACTACAAAGATATATAAAGCCCCAACAAAATAGGCCTTAAAATAGTAGGTACACCTCCAATAAATCGGTACCTGTTACATGGCCATTGATACCATCCATTCACCAGGTCATGAACCCGAGACCGGCGCCGCGGGCGTTCCGGGCTTCGGCGCCTTCCGTGGCGTGACAACAATAAAGCGCTGGCGGTTCCAGTTGGACGGGGTGGTTTCACCAATCACTGACATCGGATCAATTGGATTTTTCTGGTAAATTAACTTGTGGACCCTGATTTTATCACCCATTTTTATAGAGGAAACTCATCTGAACCAACCCCGATGACTGCCAGGGTCGAACTGTTAATTTACTGGAGGGTATAAGCTCTTCATGTTAGTTTGAAGTGCGCCAAAAAGCGAATGAACTGAGGCTGCAATCTTGGCATCTGATGTTGATCCCACCATGTGATGTCACCGATCAAGGCCTAGGGTTACTAGGGATGGGCATACCCAGGTCATCCCAGCCGATTCCATGGTGAAGAGAAATGGATCTTGAGTGCTTTTGAGTTACCCTCTGGTAATGACTAACATAGCGATTGAACATGGCCCATTTATAGTGGATATCTACCCATTAAAAATGGTGGATCCTTGCATAGTTATGTTAGTTTACCAGAGGGTATCACATCTGTGATACCCGAAAAGGCTAAGCAAGGCAACTCCCGTGCTACACACAGTTCCCTTTGTATTCCTCTGAGGAAACTGGTTGGAATGGGTTCAGAACAGCAAAAAGATTATGGGTTTCAAACCCACCGTGGATTTCCTGCATCTCGGCACTGATCGGAACCGGAAATTTATGTCAGTTGCATCGAGTACCTGTCCCAAACCAGGAGCTGGTCAAAGGCATGTCTTGTTGTTTTTTTTCTTGACGAAAATAGTAATGTGGGTAAAACAATGTCATAAACCATTCCCCAGTCATCACCATTTTTATAGGTGGTATAAACTTTATAAACCATTCCCAAATGGATGGTTTATGATTGTTTTTCTCACATTAATAGGGTACGCCATGGCACCTTGTTTTTTTTGCTTATCGAACGCGGTGTTGATTTCATGCTTCAGTTTTTGGTATCAGTCATCTTTGATGTTCGCTATAGTCGTCGTGCCGAGGAATCTGTGTGCATCGCCCAACACCAGCCTGCAAACCTACCTGAGAGCCATCATCCACGAGGTTATGCGCAGCTTTGAACAAATGGCATGGAACATGTGTTGAACTCGTATCGCAACCCCTAAGGATAAGAGTTGTTACAATCCAATCCTGAAATAATGACTATAGTTATATATGCTGTAGATGTTTGTATAATAGTAGTTTTTTTTTGGGGGGGGTACCATGCTTTGCTCTACCTATCTACGCGATCCTCTATCTCTTAAAGCCTAACCAAGATTGGGGTCGCAACGATTTTCCCAAGCGATTTGAGAAACACATTCTGCCGACCTCGGTCTTAGGGGTTGGTAACAACATGATTACCCTCCAACAGTATCATCAATCAAATGTGGCTTTCTGGAAAATCTATGAAAATCTCCCATGTAAACGATGTTTGGGATGTTGGTTGTATATGGTCGTATGATATTTATCCTATGATATTCCCATGAACAGGCTATGAATCCTCATGTTTTTTCCCCATGCTGGCCATTTTGCAAAGCCCCTAAGGCACCTTGGATGCGGATCGCTGTTCCATCTTTTTCGTGGACGACATGCGCAAGGAGGTCTGGTGTGTGGGTTCCTTGGACATGGACGCTTGGCGCAGCCATGCCTATGGATTCGTAGGTCAGCGATGGGTGAAGATTGACATGTTGGAACACTTGCCCTGCCCATTTGGGATAATATTTATATATATATAATATATAATATATATATATATATATATGCCAGACTGGTTGGTGTGTCATGTGTTTTACTTCTCATGTCATATCATGTGAAACCAATTGCCTGATTTTCGACAGAACGGGTTGAATCCACCCCCCAAGAAGTCCATGAATTTTTGAGCTGGCCACTGGCCAGGCATATATCAGGATGCCTCCATTTTTTGTTTCAAAGATCCTGCAGCAAGTTGTAGTTCAGGGGTCCAACTTGTTCACCAGCTGGATTTCTTCATCAGTTTCAATCCAGGAATATCCAGGAAATTTTGGATTGTGACCCAGAAGTGGAGAGTTTCAGCCAGCTCTTGGGAATTCCTGGCCAGTGGACAGAAAGTACGGGTCCATGGATGTTTTGAGCCACAGGTGAACTATATTACCATCAGAGTCCAAGTTGTATCCCTGAAAAAAGAGTTGATTGAATTAAATTAAACCATATTAAATCATAAACCATCATGTTCAATACTCAAAATCACCCGACGATAGGAATTTCGAGGTGCATTGTTCGAGTAGCTCTCGATGTTTCGTAAAAAGCGCACTCTGAGGAGCCTTTCAAGTTGGACTGGGCCAAAGGCATTGTGGGAATGGTGGCCAATGAGGGTCAGATTGTGAATCTCCCAGGCGGGGCAAAATGCGCTGTGGGGAAGGCCCGGGAAGGCCCCTCTTTTATCGATGAACTTGAGATGTTACGATCAAGTGATATCAAGTGGCAACAAATAGAGGATTACTCTCTGGTAAACGTTAACAAAAAACTATGGAAAGATCCACCATTTTCTAGCTGGGAAAATCCACGAACTAAATGGCAATGTTCAATAGTTATGTTAGTTTACCAGAGGATTAAATCTACTGATAGCATTACTTTCCAGAGAAATATATAGATATACAGATAAAACAAAAGCGTCGATTCTATCGGTATAGTCCCAAAATTGGATCATGGGAAAATGGGTCCACAGTCTGCCAGCTGTGGGTCCACAGTCTGCCAGCTGTGGGTCCACAGTCTTAAACTTTCACCCACGTCCCACGTCCATCGATTGTCAGTGTTGTAGGGTAGGTCCCCATTTGAGCAGTGTTGTAAAACTATTGGAGAACCCTTGATGTTTGGTTTATGGGGATTTTCATCATGGCTTTCCATCAATCCCCATTGTAAAGGGGTACTTTAGCCCCCTACAAGGCTCCATCGGAGTTGTTGAAACTGCGAAACTGTTGGGATGCTAAATCACCCTGGACTAAGATAACTATGAACCAAGCACCATGTGTATGTTTATGATCCAAGCACCATGTGTAGGTTTAATAGGCGAATTGGAATTTCAAATTCATAGGTAAATCATCGAACTCAATAGCCTCTGGTAATGACTACCATAGCTATTGAAAATGGCCATAGAAATAGTGAGTTTTCCCATTAAAAATGGTGATTTACCATAGTTTTTTGTATGTTTACCAGAGGGTAGCCATCATCATTTCTCGCCATGATTCCACCTGCCAGATGCACATGACCATCCCGCCTTTGATGGGGAAATCGAGAAGAAAACGGGCTATCGAGCGACCTGGCGGACCTGGCGGTGGCGATCATGGAATCCCGGCCTGGGGGCCTTTGTCAAAAGTAGGGCACTGGTAAAATCCTCCATATATTTTTTTTGGGGGATATATTTAAATATATGTGTTCCCTTTTAAGGTTCACATTTTGGATGATTTTCTGTTTTTTTGGGACCTTTACCTTATATTTTCCGACATTTTGTGCCATTGATCCAAGCATTATTATGGGTGATTCAACCAGCCAGGATGGGGAACAAGTTGAAGCTTCAGGTAACAAGAACTTTTTTATGGCCGTGCGATTGGCAGTGATAAACACTTTCTGGTTGGTGGCTTGGAACATGTTTTTTGTCCATAATATATGGGATAATCCTTCCCATTGACTGATATTTTTCAGAGGGGTTGAAACCACCAAGCAGCTTTAGGTTTTGGTTTCACTCTCCATATTGACGTGACACAAACGAACAACCCATTTTTTTGGTATACGAACCATCGTAGAAACCTGTGACCTGTTTGGTTTTAAAGCTGACAATAGAAAATCTCTATGTTTCAAGTCGATTCAATAAGCAAATCATTGAAATAACAGGAAGGAACTTTCACAAAAGTTACTGTAGTGGTTTCAACATGTTTTGTGAACATCCCTTCAGGTTCAACTTGTGTTTTTTTCTCAGCATGACACCCTCTGACCCTCTGACGGAATGCAGGTGAAGGGCCTTTTATCGCTGCCCGTAAAGAGCAACTTGACAGAACTTCCGTGAAGATTTTGTCCATTTCTTTCTGGTGTCAACCCATCAGAAATTATGTTTTGATGGTGTTTCAATGGGATTTTGATGGTGCTTTCATGGGATTTTCATGGGATTATGATGTTATTTTCGATGATCTATAGTGGTCACTCCCCCAAGAATCCGGATCTTTTTTGGTGACTTCACAGTGGTTAGTTCGCTATGAATCCTAGCCTACTGATCGCTGGGCTTAGAATCTACGGATCCGATTTCTGTGGTGAAGCACTAAGTTTCGGAGTCTCGTAGATTTGGGTAAATTTTAACGACCTCACGTCGCGACCGAACCCTGGAATGATGGTTAGGATTAGGGGTAAGTATCCCAAGAAACCTGATTTCAGGTTGGTGAATTCTTGTGATTCGCCCCAAGATGTAATAGATGCATCTAGATGCCCTTTCTAAAAGGGGGGATGAAAGAGGGAAAACGATGATTTTTTTCCGATGAAGATGTGGTTTGTCTTAGGTTCCCCTGAAATCGGATGTTGGGCCGAAATCATTCGCTGTGCTGTTAAGGCACCATCAACTTGGAGAGAACGATTGGAGTGATCCAGGCTGGGCCCTGGGCCCCACATCCCACGGAATCCCATGGAGATGGGATGGATCTAGCTCCAGTTACTCCAGGTTTTTTTCCCGTCCCGATAAGATGCAAGCAACAAGAGTTGTCCAGTAAATAAAATGTGAAGTCCAGCTTGACAATAGAGGTTTCACAGCTTAAGTTTTTGATGCCTATATTTTTGGGGATTTTATTCCCAGCATATGTGTCCCTTTCCCACTATGGACCAATGGAGATTGCGATATATGAAACCCCTCTCAAAAAGAGCGTGTATTCCCAGTTAGATTAATGGCTGGCTTATATGATGTTATATGTGTGGGTGTTTCACACTACTTGCATATATATATATATACTTGATAATAAATAATAGTTTATGTATGATTACTGGGTTATAGATGGTTATATAGTTATATATTATATTATTATATATTATTATTTGCCTATAACATATAGTATAGATGTATAATTATCAGATATCATATTTCTGTATATCACCTATATGTATTTATATATATGGTTGTATGTATATTACATATATATATATATATATCTTATTTCAATAGGTTATATGCAGATATTTCATGGCTGTGTCACCTGCCTTTCCCTCGACCTTAGGTCTTGAACAAGAGAAACGGCAGCGGCTCCTTTTCGGAGCAAGACGCTGTCGAGCTCCAACAGATCGCGTCGTTTGGTGATCAGCGGGTCTGGGAACCCCCCCAAAATGATGGTTAGACTGGTTAGACTGGTTAGATGAATATGTATCCGTTATGACTATAGGAACTAAATCATCTTCAAATGGACGATTTGTTCATATCTGAGATGTTCTGGATAAATATATCTATGAATTGCTATTTAAATGGGTTTAAGCAAGGGAAAAGGGGATGTTAAGCAGAACAAATGATGGGTTTTCATGGGATAGTATATATATATACAGTATATATAACTGTGAATGAGCCAACTTCACCTTGACACATGCATGCTATCAGTACAGGTGCCGTGGATTTGCGGCTCTAGGCCCATGGATTTTAGCTTGTTGGAAAACCACATGGCGTTTGGAGGCGGCGGTGTCGCTCCAGCATTTGCATTCGTTTGATCTCTTGGTTGCACCATCAGCTTCTACCAGTTCACATTGGTAGCGGAGCCACCCGGGGGGCTCGATAATACCCCGGGACGGTCCAGGACAAGGACATTGGCAAGTGGAGGAGACTGGTGGTGCGTCATTAGCAGTTGCTTTCGATGCCTGCCCCAACGCCTTTAGGTCCGGGGATGGATGAGGAAAGTGGTGATGGGGGCCCTAGCAGTGCGTCAAATTCTGGGGATGCTACTCATGAGGGGCAACGGGAAGTCATCAATAACTCATCTGGACCATGGACTGATGCAGAATGGGACGAATGGATGGCTAGGAGAAGAACATGGTACTCTTGGCCCCCAACAACTACTACCCCCTCCGGTGGTGATGGTTCAGCTAGCCGTGATGCTTTTGTTTCTAGCGACCCATGGCAGTCCCAGGGTGACCCTTGGGGAGCAAGCGCAAATCGTGAAGATGACCGTATGGGGGGTAGTGACAAAATCAGCGTGCCTGAATTCTCAGGTGAAGATGACAAAGATGGCATGGTGACCCGTGGCTATCTTCGCAAGGTGGCAGCTTGGAGGAGAATGACAAGGTTGAGGCCAAACAAACAGGCGCTGGCCTTGTACAACAACCTCACCGGCAGGGCATGGAGGGATGCTGAGGAGCTCGACTTAGCCTTGTTGGATAGTGTGAACGGGGTTGATGTCTTCACTCAATGGGTTTCCGAGAAGTACCTGGACAAGGAGGTTGTCAAGGTTGGCAAATGTATGTTGGAGTTTTTCAAGCACCTCAAAAAGGGGTATGGCCAGGAGATTCGCGACTTCAACCAGGAGTATGACAGGCAGGTCTCACGTCTTAAGGAAGTTGGTTGCAGCCTCCCTGACTTGTGCTTGGCCTGGCTCTATGTGGACAAGCTTCGTCTTGAGAATGGGGCGGAACTCAACCTTTTGTCTTCTACGGGGAATAAGTATGAACTCTCCAAACTGCAAGATGCTGCTGTGATCCAAGATCGCATGAACCGCCGTCTCTGGGAACCCCGAAAGTACGGGGACAAGAACAGAAAGGGTTCACACCATGCCCATGTGACTGAGAATGCGGAAGCAGAGGAAGATGACGAGGGCGAAATGTCTGAAGGTGAAGAGGAGATGTTCCCTGAAAGTGACGAGGAGACCCAGGAGGCCTATGTCACCTTTCAGAACGCCAAGTCCAAGTATCAGGCGCTGCTCAAATCTCGGGGCACGGCGACGAACCAGACCAGCAAAGAGGATCGAATCAAACAGGCCAAAGCCCGTTCTTACTGCTCAGCATGCAAGCGTCGAGGCCATTGGCATCGAGACCCAGAGTGCCCACTCTACAAAGGGAACAAAGGTCCTGCTCAACCTGCTCAGGTCTCTCATGTTTGTGAGGTCTTCCATGCCGGCCGCGTCGAGAATGCCGAGATCGTTGCGATCACCGACAGTGCCTGCAGCCGTTCCGTGGCTGGAAGTGAGTGGATCAAGCGCCTTCGTGAGGATGCATTGGCTAAAGGACATCACTTTGAAGTAGTCCCGCAACATGAGCAATTCAAGTTTGGTGGAGACAAACTGTTTCTGTCAAAGAAAGCTTGGTGTTTTTGGCTGAACATATGTGGAAAGTGGTTTATTTTGAAGGTGTCTGAAGTAGATGCCGATGTGCCCTTGCTTGTGAGCCGTCCAGCATTGGCTCAGCTGGGCATGCGATATGATTTGCCAGCCAACATGGCATCTTTTGGGGCACTTAATTTGACTGAGGTGCCTTTGCAAACCACTTTGACCGGCCTCCCAGCTGTGCCGGTCGCGTCCAGTTTTAGCCCTGCCCCACGATGGCCAAAGGGCATCATGTGGGACCTAGTTGAGATCTTTGTACCGTCCGAGAAGGTGGCATACATGGTGCGTCATGCGGGTGATGTTGTGGAAGCCCCCAAGAAGCTGTTCTACCCCAAGAAGATGGATCCTATGGTTATGCACAATCTATCTGCTGAACATCTTTGCCCAGAATGGTTTCAGGGTTGGTGGCGCGAAACCAAAATTTTGAGGGATTTTTGGATTGAGGGTGACTTCTACATCGACCGCATACATGTCATTCCCAGAAGAGATCTTTTTGACCCTCGAGATTGGCAAACAAGTGATGGTGGTTTGAAAGAATGTCTTCTTATTTCCCTTGGCGACACACGCATGAGTACATGTATACCCTGCACTTCATCTGGAAAGCCGTTCATGATGTCAAATGCTTGGAGGTTTGAGGTCAAGGTCAAGGGACAACAACTTTGGATTGGACGAAGCCGTTTTCTTAGGCCTCAAGTAGCTGGCGCACTTCAATCACGTTCACCTGGGAGCCCAAACCCAGGTGATGTCCAAACCTGCCTCAGTATGGAAGATGCGGCGTGCGGAGCTTCTGGAAGCCTTGATCGACATGAACGTGAAGTACGATCCAAGCATGACAGTGCCGGAGCTGAGGTCGATCTACATGGAGGCCCGTGGACCTCAAGGGAAAACTGGCTTGGGGTTGACAAAGTGCAGTGTCGACCAACTGAAAGAGCGGTGCTTGGAGGAGGGATTGGAGATAACACCAAAGGCCACACAGGGTCTTCTGATGAGGATGCTGCGCTACAGTATGGAAACCACGGGAGACAGCGAGGTGACCTTCGGGCAGTACAAGAACTACTTGTTCAAGGAGGTGCCAAAGGACTACTTGGAGTGGGCCATCAAGGAATGGAGCACGTCCAGCCAATGCAGCCCCGACTTGGCCCGCCTGGCACGATGGGCCGATCGCCAAAAGCAAGGGGTAAGCCACTCTCAGGGCTATGGAGCCAAGTCCTTGAAGGACCCGGAGCTGATGGCCAAGACCAAGCCACCACCCGTGGCCCACCACGTCCGTCCTCGTGCACAGCCCAAGGAGAAGAGCGTGACACCGGTGCGAAAGTCAAAGACCAGGCCATTGGAGGAATCCGACGATTTCTCTATGGTGTCTTCGGTGGACGGCCCCATGTCTACAGAGGAGGAGATCCACGAGCTGCAGGAACGCCTCAAGATCCTGCAGACTGTCAAGATGGCAGAGGATGCTGCAAAGACCGCCGTGCCAAGGGACGGAAGCTTAGAGAATCAGTGAAAGCCGCTGTTGTGGCAAAGAGAGAGAAGCGAGACAAGAGGGATCAAGGTGATGCAAGCCCGGTGTCCAGTGACTATGAGACTGAGAGTGAGAAGGTTTCAAAGTATGAGGCGGGCGGGGTTCCGCACTATGAGGATGTGTATAACATGGTCACTGATGAGCCCTACGGCAAACATATCCCTGAGGCCCTTAAGCCTGAGCTCACCGATGTGGTGACTATGAGGCAGCCCGAAAGCTGTTCAGAGATGAGACGTGCCGTAATTTCAAGAAGAAGGTGAAGTCATGGGCGGCCAAAGTCATGATTGCTTTGGCAACTTTGGTCGCCGTATGGGCGTTTCCTTTGCACGCTCCTGCACCTCACCTGATTCCCAATGCTGAGGATGTGGCGAACTCCAACAAGTGCCACTGCCATGAATTCCTTGAGATGGGGCCGCCGTGTATCTACGCCTACGAGTTCTGCAGAGCTGTGGTGGGATGCTACCAGTCCGAGATCGTGCCCAGACGTTGGACGCCTTTCCCTGCCGTTGGAGATGGGGAGCTTAGCGATGCCCTTGAACCTATTACAGCTTTGCAGGGATTAGATGTCTTCGTGGATGGTAGTGATGTCAACATGGAACCACATGAACTATATGATAAAGTACATGGCGGTGATCAACATGCTTCACATGGTGTATTTGTAGGTGATGACCACATGCAGATTGACTTCCCAAGTAAGGAATGTTTGCCTGAAAACACTTTTCACCTACATGTTGGAAAACGTGCAGCTCAAATCCTGTCCAGGTGGAAACGACATCAAGGACATCTTCGACCTCCAGAACATGCATGGCATCTTCGGCTTGCAGGCCTTGGGATCGAGGGGTATGAGTTGCTGGTTTTACCATTGTATAGCGGACCTCTGTGCGATGATGCGGTGAGGGGCGTAGTTCCGATAGCTTTTCTGATGACTTGCAAGCCTCTTTTCGGCTTGATCCATTGGGTCGAAGAGCCAAACGCTCTTCCTGCGAAGAGGTTGATGGTTGATTGGGCAGCGCTTGAACAACTTATTTCGTTTGTTTTGGCTGTGGCTGCTGGTTGGGAGGTTGTTTTCGATGATCCCAGGATGATGCGCTGGGTCCCAACTCAATTTCAATCAGCAGACATTCCCATCAAATTAGAGACCGATGTACAAACCTGGTGGGACATGCTGCGAAACCTCCAATTGTCTCATTTCTGTGTCAAGGTGAACTTTAAACGTTGGGTGTGTGAATGAGCCAACTTCACCTTGACACATGCATGCTATCAGTACAGATGCCGTGGATTTGCGGCTCTAGGCCCATGGATTTTAGCTTGTTGGAAAACCACATGGCGTTTGGAGGCGGCGGTGTCGCTCCAGCATTTGCATTCGTTTGATCTCTTGGTTGCACCATCAGCTTCTACCAGTTCACAATAACATACAATGGGGTACACAATTGGTACACTAACCCATAGATGTGGAAGACATTGAAAAATCCTATGGTCTTCGGTTTGGAAAAACAACTTGAAATGGTGTTCACATGGCCATTCAAGGAGTTGCTTTCGGGCTTGAAGCGGGGCATATGTTCATCAAGGTCAACGACAAACCCTGGTTGATGAAAAACGGGAGTACTTACCATGTGGTGCATTCAAAGCTGCAAGAACCGGTGAAGTTCATTGACTTTACTCGCCAGCGCATCGATTTTGTCGGGTTCCCCATCCCCCTGGAGATCTGAGGATGGTCATTGGCGACTCCTTCTATCGCCAACGCTGGAAAGCTCTAGAGACGCTCTTCGCGGCTCGGCGATGTCGCGGCGAGGGCCCAGTGAGGGTCGGTGTGTCGGTTGGTGTTTCGGAGCTGTTTTTGGTGGATTTACCCGTCTTCAGGGATTTACCATCAAGGGATTTAAGATGATTTAAACAACCCTTAAATGGCCGTATATCAGATATATCACTTCACCATCGCATATCACTTGACATGATTTTTCACCCATGACGCATACATTTTGCCCATGCCGGCAAAGACTTGAGACATCCTGAGATACAGTTTTTTTCTCCTCTTGCTGTAGACCAAAGACTTCTTGAAAAGATAGGAATCCCATGGAATTCCTCTTATTGCCAGAGGCTATCCATGGGTCCCACAAACCACTCCGCATGGTTTTCTTCTTTATAAAGTCCCTCACCACAAGTGAACGTTGGTAGATATAGCTCCCGGCAACATGGCAATGGCAAAGTCCACCTTATGGATAATGTTCCCATGAACACCTCCACACGTTTGATTACCAGAGGGTACTAGAACCTGGTTCTGAGTTGACAAGTGGATATATGATGATATATGGCCGTTTTAGAGGTTCCACTCCACCACCAAGACGGGAGCCCAATAAAAATCACCGGCCTCGTCAAGTTGGCTCCCAACTTTCAGTCCTGTTGTCCAAATATGTCCAAATTGGTTGATTTTGTTCAACCATGGTTAACCAAAACTGAGAATACCCTCTGGTTATTTAACATAGCCATGGAAAATCACAATTTTTAATAGGTAAACCATCTATAAATTGACCATTTTTCATGGCTATGTTAAATAACCAGAGGGCCTGTTTTTTTTTTTTCCGAATGATTTTTTTTCAGCTTTTTAGACATGAATTCGAAAGATCTACGCTGCATCCAGCATAGCACGAGCATTTAGACGATCGACACATGTTCATCCCTTATTGATTCCCATGTTCATAGGCTAAGTCAGCAATTGAGTTCGGTTCTTGACCCATTTGTTGTGGGGTTCAACGGTGATGGTTTATTATCATTGTCCCATGAAAAACTGCTAATGTCATTGGTATTTTATGAGTAAAATAGGGGAAAGCCAATAATAAAACATCACCAACAGCACTACAAATGGGTGGGATTCGTATTGCACGTATCATCCCCAAATTTTGTGACTTCGTCACATCGAAACCAGGAGAAGGGCGATGAACAAGTCTCTGCCGTGCTGAATGAGCACAGAGAGAGGCAGGGTGACTTTTTTTTGACCTCGGGGAGGTGAGAAGCCGAAAAAAAAAATGGATGGGGAGGTACCCCAACATACAAAAACCACGGGATGTTTTGGGGGTACCAGGTACCCTCTGGTAATTTAACAGCTATTGAAAATGGCCATTTATAGTGAGTTTTCCCATTGAAAATGGTGATTTTCCATAGCTATGTTAGTTTACCAGAGGGTATCCATAATTTAGGCATCCCCCCAAAAATGGGAAATGGTACTCATACTGACTCAGAGTCCTTCTTTTTCTTGTATTAATCAACCATGAGTCCTTATATATTGTCCTATACTTGCGCGGTTCTTTTTGCATCACTTCCAATAATTAATGGTTGCAGGACACGGATTCATGGTGTGAGGTGGCGCCTTTTTTGAATGCTTGGTGTGTGAAAAACGATGTTTTTTCATGTTCAACCTGGGATGATCGGATGATCTGAGACATCTCGTCTTGGCCATGTCCTTTTTCAGGGGTCAATGGACCCTGGTGGATCGCCGCCACGCCTTGGAGGTTAGTCTACAGCAGCAATGGACCTGGGATGAATCTTGGATCATCCTTAGAGCGTGGATTGCATCCCCTATGGTTTGATGTTGTTGTCACAGCAATGGACCTGGGCTGCCAGGATCAACAAAACATATAAAAAGTATAATTCAACACGAACATAGATATGTTGAATAGCTAAGTCATCTAATGTCATCTATAAACAAACCATTTTCCATGGCTATGATAGTTGAATGATGTTTTTCTGGAGCGTACCTAACTTTGAACCAACAGAAATCCCCCCCATTTTCGTGGCTTCCAATCCCGGTCCAATCACCGGGGCTCCAATTCGGTGTCCGAGGAGCACGCCCCCAGAGATTCTGCGGTCCATCAGCCGCCAGCCATTTCTGCGAGCGCATTCGCCCCTGTGTCTTGGATGGATCAACATCGCCGATGTGATGATGTGGTACTCGTATCCATTGTTGGGGAACGAACATAGCTACCCTCTGGTAATTTAACATAGCTATTGAAAATGACCATTTATAGTGGTTTTTCCCATTAAACATGGTGATTTTCCATAGTTATGTTAGTTTACCAGAGGGTACTGTATACCATGGTTTTTGAGAACGGGTACTGTATAACTGTATAACCATGGTTTTTGAGAACAGGGTCAACCCAAGCAATAATTAAACATCTACCATCATCTACCAATATCTGGTAAGTAGAATCAATGGGGATACAACCAATGGATGGTTACGACATGAAACGACCAATGTCTGAAAACGTAGCTCCCCAATAGATGGTCAATGGTCAATGATAAGAGTCAATAGGGATGCAACCAATGTGCATATAACAAATAGGAAACTATCAATAAGTAGTAAAACAATAAGTAGTAAACTTATTAACTATCAATAATGAGGTTCAATAATGGTAACTTATCAGTAACTTATTAACTATCAATAATGATAATCAATAAGTAGTAAATGGGTGTGTCCAGCCTTTGATGGACGTACAAAAAAAACACAAACCAACGGGCACTGAATATGAAGCCATGGATTCAGCGATTCAGCCATGGGAGGAACAGAAACATAGTGAAGATGTAATGGAATATAGCAGGATATCAGGCCGGATACAGTGGGGATGCACATGGGATCCAAAATGGGGATTTTTTCATGGGATACAATCAACGTAGATCAACATAGATCAACCAGATTTTAGCTGTTCTTGCCACATGTATACCCTTTGTATTCATCAGAAATGGGTGTAAAAACCCATCACCCAGACACAGCTTGGAGGATGAAACCTGGGCGTCAGTGAAAAACCCCGGGCTCTTTGGTTCACAGCAACATATAGGATTCATGGATGTTACCCTCTGGCAAACTAACATAGCTATTGAACATGGCCATTTATAGTGAGTTTTCCCATTAAAAATGGTGAATTTCCATAGTTATGTTAGTTTACCAGAGGGTAGCTATGTTCGTTCCCCAACAAATCTGAGATTTCATGGGTTCTGATCCATCCCCATATCATATGACATCTGTAATCTGTAGTATCCCGTATCCCCGTGATCATTCCAGAAACATGTCCCCAATATAAACTCATCTCCCATTGTACCAGCACTTTTCTTCAAAGTTGCTGCCTCTTTTGAGCCATCTTTCAAGGCAGTTAAAAAGATTTCTCAGTTCATGGATTCTGTTCATCCCCAGCAACAAATGCGTAGTATCAGTTATGTAATTAAACAGATATTCCCAGTTCATGGATGTTTTTTTTGAAGGGTAGTACCATGTAGTACCCCTAAATACCCCGCAAAAACTAATCATTAACCAACCATCATAACCATCATATCTATATCCATCTATATCCCGGTAGTTTGATGGTGAAAACCTCTTTTTTTTCAAAGACAAACTAAAATCATCAACCAAGCATGATTTCTCACCTATATCCTCTGGAAATCCCCATATCTTTATGATGTTTACTACCCCCCCCAGGAAATGATGGAGCTACAGAAATGGTTACGTACGTAAATCCCCATGAACATCATGAAATCTTACCACTGAAATCATCGACATATCAACCAACCATCATTTCTCACTCATACCCTCTTACATCCCCAAAAATAGTTATGATGTAAACTATGTAAACCACCAAATCTCCCTGAAATCATCAAGAAATCAGAAAAACAGGCAAGTGGAAGATTTAATGTCCCTGGACTTCGACGTTCTCACGCAGACAGAGGACTTCCTAGAAGAGTTGGTGCCTAGGCCTTGCCGAATTTCTGTGGTGCTTTCTGGTGGTATTTCCATGGGCGAAAACATGTGAACAGATATGAAAAAGCCATGGTTTCCTTCGGAAAAACATGAAGATATGGACACAAATGGTGCGTTTTCATGGGTTTTCCACATCTGTGTTAGTTTAGAGGAGGGTCATTTACGTTTATTCATGGTGACTTTTGGTGAAGAGTTAAGCAAAATCAATATGGGAACCCCCGAAAACAATTTCATGATACTCGACCTCCAAGAACATAGGCGCAACATGGAAGAACCTACAAATTACCCTCTGGCAAACGTTTATAACTATGGAAAGATCCACCATTTTATAGCTGGGAAAATCCACTATTTCTATGGCCATTTTCAATAGCTATGTTTGTTTACCAGAGGGTACGGTTGGTTGATAGTGTTTTTGTTGGAGCGACGCAAAACCTGTTGGTGGCAATCCTATTGATGAGACCATGAAACGATGGATTGATTCTCTCACCCAATCATATTCCAAAGGGTCTATGAAATTAAAGTATAGTTTATATATAATATATATATAATACATACGTATTTTATACTCATATTCATTGGTATCATCATAGATTTGGATGATGATGGGAACATTTTAACCGGAAACCCCTAAATATTTGATGGTAAAAACCCATGAGTTCCGGTGAAGATATTCCCAAGAAAACCAATCCATTGATGTCATTGATATTCATTTGGCCATCTGGTTATGACTAACAGTTTGCCATGGGAAAATCACCATTTTAAAAAAAGGTAAACCCAGGTAAACCATCTATTTCTATGGGCCATCTATACCATGGCGAACTGTTAGTCATAACCAGAGGGTAAATTACGGTCCTATCACGACCTGACGTTCACAACCTTCGGCTGCCAGCCATGTTCGCCGAGGTGCCCGACATCCTGAGACACGCCGGATGTCCCTTGGAGATGACAAACATAGCGAGTTATACCCTCTGGTAATGACTAACATAGCTCTTGAAAATGGCACATTTATAAGATTTATAGTTGATTTAGCTAGTAGAAATTGTTATTTTCCATAGCTATGTTAGTTTACCAGAGGGTCTTTGGTGGATTTATTTCATGAAAGATGATCTTAACTGCAGTGATGATATAGTGGAATTATAACTCCTATCATGTTACATGTTAGAAAAGTTGTGGCCCTGTTAGCTAGTTATATAATATTATAACTATAATATAACTATAACTATAGTTATAGGAGTGATAATTCCATTCCATTCATAACTCTTTGTTAGTTGGGCCATAGAAACTCTGGAGGAAACATCAACCCAAAGTTACACCGGAATAAAAACATCCCTTTGGGCATCTTTGGTAACTTTGGCAGTGGTTGGTTATCACATCATTTCGGCAGGCTTCATATCGATTCATATCTTACCCTGTGGTAAATAAACTTGTGGACCCTGAACATCACCAATTGCTAGAGGAAACTAATCTTCCAATTCCTATCTGCCAGGGTCGAACTGTTCATTTACTGGAGGGTAATGGTTATTAGCATCACTGTTTGGATTGATGGAAACTAGCAACCAGCAACGACAATCATATATCATGATATATCATGTGTTTTTCATATAATTTTCCAAAAAATAACATAAAATCAATATGTTTTGGTTTGGATATCATTTTCTGTAGCAATCATTGAATCCAAAAAGTCACAAGAAGTCGACGTCGTGACCGTCGTGACGCCTTGGTGTCACCGAGGTATTGAGAATTGCAAAATCCCCGAGGAGCGGCTGATGACTTGGTCGGAAGCCGTGCACCAGGGCTACCGCGCCTCGGCGTGGTGAAAAGCTCTGGGGAAAACCATGGGGAAAAACCATGGTTATGAAAAACCATGGGGAAAACCGGGAAAAGGTGATGAAAGATGTTCTTTTGGATAGAAAATGGGAAAACCCATGTTATTTTGCTGGGAAAATGCTGGGAAAACCCCAAAAACCCATGTTTGTTTTGGATAGAAACCGGTAAACTGAGCAGTATGGATGGAGACCTTCCAGTAAGAGCACACCGGAACCTAAAACACGTCCAAATGCCACAAGCGTTTCTCCAAAAATGAGAAAACAACCCCACTCTTCGGTCACGTGCCTAGTTTTGACGACCTTCCTTGATGTCTTAAAAACTCACTAGTTGGTTGATTCATAGAGGTTTCCCCGCGTTCAAAGCAACCTTTTTCTATGAACGTAGCTCACAATAGACAGTACACATCAGTATACCCAACCGGCGCAAGAATTTTCCACGGACAATATTTTCAGGTGGGATGTTTTCGATCTATTCTGATCCGATCCATTTTGAAGTCCCACTTTTCAGGTTTGTATCTGTGGGATGATGACGGGATGTGTGGACCATCCCAAAAGTGTCAGCAAGTGTCATCAGCATGGCTGGAATTCCAACTCCAAGATATTCCATGGTAAAATTGAAAATGACCCATGGAAATAGTGGATTTACATGGATTTTCCCAGCTATAAAATGGTGGATCTTTCCATAGTTATGTAAACGTATACCAGAGGGTAACCAGCTTTTGTGGCCGGTTTTGTTTCTGGGAAACCTGGGCTTTAGCCCGCCATGGCGGCATCATGGCTTGAGGTGAGAACCCCTTTCACAACTGGTACCACGGCTTTGGCGTCTACCAGTCGCTCGGTTTTGTCAAAGGGGATCAGCGGTCGAATTGGTAGATTCCAAGATGTTTCATGATCTCTACCCTCTGGTAGACGTTTACGTAACTATATGGAAAATCACCATTTTTATCCATTTGTTTAATTTACTCACTATAAATGGGTCATGTTCAATAGCTACAGTATGTTAGTTTACCAGAGGGTACTGACCATATAGATATTTTTATCCCATCCCCCTATAGCCCTATAGATAGATCTATTTAGATTTAGATATATGTTCCGTCGTAGATATCTACAATGTGAGGCCCCCAAGATATCTAAGTTGGTTTATAACTCCAATAACTGTGGTTTATGGTACTTATAACTATAGTTACTGGGGCTTATAACCAACTTATAACTGGGGGGCCTCACATTGTACCTACTAGAGCGATGACAGCAAAGAAAAATGGACATGTTGATGCCGAGACAGACCAGTTTTCTGAGGCACATTAGGATACATTAGGCACATTCGTCGTTTGTGTCTGGAACTTATGCCGAGAAACCAGCATTGGTTAGAACCACATGGGTCCTCCTTCTGAAAGCAAAGTAGGTGATACCGTACTCTGATGATGGATTGCATCATATTGCATCCATATTTTCCAGAATACCGGCGTATACAATCCTATGTTTATTTGTTTGGATCATTTTGGATCCTCATCATTCTCATTTAAGGAGATCTTGCCGCAGCTACGAACCTGGAAGGGAAAGATCTAATATGCCATCATATGCGTATTCGTAATTATTCGTGTGTATATATATATATATATGTGTCTATATCAAAGGCAAATATACGATGTGTATATAGAATATAAGTTTTGTAATATTGATTATATATATAATTAATTAATTAATTAGGTGTTTCTATGGACACTTCTCGGACATTCCGTCAAAACTCGTCTCCATGAGTCCTAAGTGGGTGATATCATAACGAATAGATTCTGTTTATTTGTTGTTTCCCAAGATTTCGATATGTTCGTTAAACATTGGATTTTGTTTTAATAAAATCAATAAGATCATCAATCGTCAATGATATCAACTTCCCGCATCATTATTGTCATGTACCGGTATCCTCTGGTTATTGAACAGAGCTATAGAAACTTGCCCATGTATTGATGGTTTATGAAGATTTACCTATGATTTACCTTTAAAAACTGGTGAATAATTTCAGTTCCCAAAACGTTCAATCACCAAATGGCGCCATCATTGAATGTTTCTTGGAGTGGTTTTCTGAAAATCTTCACCGGAATGGTTTTCACCATGTTTGTTTCCCATGTTTTTTTCTGGGCCTTTCCCGAAAAGAACATGGTCCCAGCAATCCATGGATCGTTCCGTGAGTTCCATCGCCGCAGGATGTGCTTCCACCAGCTGAGTTTGATCGATACCTTCAGCGGCCTTACTGCGACGGAGGTCGGAGATGGGTGCTGTGAAGCGGGACTGGCGCCGAAAAAAAGATTTGAGCTGGAAATTCTGTGATTTTTTAATATATGGGTATGGATCAATACCTATTAATACCATTTTTTATCCATTTTTAGGGGAATGAACATCCATTTACCAGCTATTTTGATGTTCACCAGGGGTACAGGGTTTTGACCCACTGCCATATATATATATATTTATGTGATATTATGTGATATGTATGTGATCATTATGTGATCATTATACATCATTGATCATTTCATCATATTTGTTTTTGTAAAAAAAATAGAGATTTGAAGTGGAAATGGGTCAGATTTCTTTCTGCCGCCTGAGGGCTTTGGGCTTCTGGTGGCGTCCCTGTGCCACGACATCGATCACCCAGGTGCTCTTAGGGATTGGTTGCAGCACCATGGATGATTTGGTGGTTAATGTTCAAGGCTATTTGGGAGGATGATCCCCCAAGATTTATGTTATATATATATATATATATTTATATTTATTTATATATATATGTAAACAGATTACTTATAGGTGTCCCTTAAAATGAATAGATCCAATGCTGAACCGAGATTGTTTGGTGGTTCTTATAGTTGATATTGGAGAAAAGGGAGCACAAGATGGTAGATGATCAATCAATCAACCACTGATATGGGTAGACCTTTGGGTCATGTCGATTGATTGAAGAACAAACCCTGTGCAAAAGACAAAAGTCAGAATATAGTAGCTATCAGAAACACACACAGGAAGGATGAGAATAGAAGCATCATGCAACTGAACAAAAAACAACCACAGAACAAGCAAGGCTGTGATTGACCATGGCTTATCTGAAGGACGAAATGCTATCGGCACTGTTTTCAGCATCTCTTGTTGGGTGCAGTTGGGGTTAAACTGGCTATGTAACTATGGTAAGAACCACCATTTTTTGGGATAAACTTGGTTTTATAAAAATGGTTCTATAACTATGTAAAAAACAATAGTATATAGTGTTCCTCTAGAATAATGGTTCTATAATGGTTTATAAACTTGGCTATGTAACTATGGATAAAACCTCTATAACTCTGTTGATAGAACCGCAATTTTTATAGTGGAACTGCAGCCCCCCAACAGAAACAAAACAACAACCAGCGGCCAGTGGCCCGTTTAATGTGTCACCATGAGCTGGGACCGCAATGAGTAAATCAGCACCAATGATGCTCGCTTAGTTCCTAAAGAAGTATTCATTCATTGCATATTTGTTAGATAGATATATATATATATATTGTATATAATATATATATAATAATATATATATATAATATATACAGTATCGATTCACTGCATATGTCTATCGGCCTTCGAATCAGACACATCGTTTTTCGGATCCATTTCGCGGCGCAGGTGTGACCAATGGCTATTTGATCAGGCGATGGCTGTGGCTACATCCCACGGTGTTGTGGGGGTTGGTTCCGGGATGGGTGGGACCATTTTTTCACCGGAAAGCCATGGGAAAACCATGGGAAAACCATGGGAAAACCATGGGAAAACCACGGGAAAACCATGGGAAAACCGGGTTTCGATGTGCCCCAAAAAACCAATCCAGTGATCACAACCGTTGGTACCGTTACGGCAGGCAGCAAGATGACTTGGCCTTGCGTTACAATGATGTGTCAGTGTTGGAGAACCACCATGCGTCCCCTGGCTTTGGAAACGTTGTTTTTTCGGGTGGAGCACGGGGAAGAGCACGGGGTGGCCCGTGGTTGAACCATTGCATGTTCATCCCCAACCTTGCCATAAGCAGCAACAAAAAAACGCGTGGACTACCAAAGATTGACTAACATAACTATGGAAAATACCATTTTTTTTATGGTAAAATCCACTATAAATGCCAATTTTCAATAGCTATGTTAAATTACCAGAGGGTACCAAATATTGACCATGTGTCACGGTATGGGTAAAACTTCGACAAACTTCCGCTTGCAGTGGACCCACAAGATTAAGATTGGTGATATTGAAAAAAATAAACGATCCATATTTATATAATCCATTTGTGTATCAATGACGTTTTTTTTTATTACGGTTTATCAAACCTATATTGATGGTTAACATCCCCTTATATAACCATTCATTTGGGGATGTTGATAATTTGACCCCTATCCATTGAAGGCGTGTAACAGATGGATAAAATAATCTGGACAATATTCGCACGATACGAACTTTGGCTCAGTTGTTGCATCCTTGTTTTTCCTCTCTCACCTTCCCGCACGGTATTTGTGTGCAATGGGTTCTCAATGGAATCAGTGACCCTCCAAAGTCCAAGTCGGCATTGTCTTGCTTCTATAATCTGTTTCTGCGAATTGCGATCTGTATCAAGTATCTCCTCGGTTCCTAGGATAGTACCCTCTGGTAAACTAACTTAGCTATTGAAAATGGCCATTTATAGTGGATTTACCCATTAAAAATGGTGATTTTCTATAGTTATGTTAGTTTACCAGAGGGTATCTCCTCGGTTCCTAGGATTCTCATTTCAATGTGGTCCCAATAAGAAACCATCCCCTGGAATGTGAGTGGTTTATGGCAGGGTCTACCACAGATAGAATTCCTATGAATTCCCGGCACTTACATAATCTTTATAAAAACGATTTCCGAATAGCCAGGCTTATACCCACTATACCAAGCATTATTCAACCATTCAAACCATTCACCAACTAATCATTCATCAACCATGAGCCAACCATCAAAATTCACCATCTTAGCCCATCTTCCGAAGCGGTCTTCCGGGCCCGCTTTCCAGGTCAGTGGCCTGCACCATTTTGCGCGCCGAGAAGACCAACATCAGCAGTGGATTGGAGAAAGTGGAGCAGGTCCGTCCGACGTCCGCGACGTCGCGCCAACGGCTGTTGATTCGTGGAACGATTCGTGGAAGGGGATGCAACACATATATGAAAATCATTGAAAATCAATGGGGGATATGGCATGATATGGCTATGATATGATATTTTTATCATATATATATATATAGTAGAATCCATTTTTTTTCGGGGGATATAATCCAGGATATCATCCAGAGATCTCCTAGCGGGATTGAAGCAGCGATCGGGTGACATGACCGGCCAATTTCGTCTGTGTTGATGTCTAAGATCTCTGAAACTCGTTTTGAGATGAGATGATGAATACAACTTTAAAACTAGCCTCTGGTAAACATACAAAAAACTATTGAAAATGACCATCGAAATAGTGAGTTTTCCCATTAAACATGGTAGTTCTTTCCATAGTTTTTTGTAAACGTTTACCAGGCCGGGTAGCTTAACATATAGCTGGACCAGAAAGATCAGATGAGCCAGCGGCTTGTGGAAACCTGACCCATAAAGTCCATGAGGAAAAAAAGCAGGCTGTGACTTGGGATGACTCGCGCAGATCACAGAAAAAAGAATCAACAGATCCTGAAAATCAGCTGGTTGGTGGTGACTGGAACCATGGAATTTTGAATGACTGTCCATTCAGTTGGGAATGTCATGATCCCAACTGACGAAGTCCATCATTCTTCAGAGGGGTAGGGCGAACAACCACCAACCAGCTATGTGAAGATCCTGATCAACCGACCAGTTGAAGATCGCGTCTCGATGTTGCTCTTACTGCTCACCCCGCTTTTTGTCTCGGTGCAGGGAGTGTTCCGCAAGGCAATCATCAAGTGCATTTTGGCCACAGAACCTTGGTAAAAAATGGCTCGGGGAGCTGACGCAGGGATGGGGCAAGGTTTGAGGTGTTGCAATTGGATGTTTATATAATCTTATATAGTTTGATATATAGTTTGTATGTTTTATTTTTATTTGATGTTTAGTGTTAATCCATTTTTTTATCATGGTTAGTGGATCTGACAGTTTGGGCGGGGGGGTTGCCATTTTTTTTGGCAGGGTTCTGGAAGCTAAGGAAACACCTGTATATACAATTATATATATACATATCGCTAATGATCACGAACCATTTTTTGTGTATGTTATGGACGATATAGCCCAGCAGTGGATAGTTGTTGTGCATTTTTTCCAGTAAGATGGTACACCCGCATCAATGACGAGCACATCGATATAGTGTAAAGTTTCTCAATGTTAATTATCATGACATTTTACGGATTGTAAGGTGATGTTGTGGAAATTATGAGATTTTTGTGGGCTGTTTTTTAATGGTATTTTATGAAGTATACCCTCTGGTAAACTAACATAACTATGACAAATCACCATGTTTAATGAGTCAATCAACTATTTCTATGGCAATTTTGTCGCAAAGTGTCAGTTTCCCAGCTCGGGTAATCGATTTTCATCAGTTTACCTTTGCAGCTGGGACGAGCGGTTTCCAAGTCCGACTGACTAGGACATGGCACATCATCAGGGTCTGTGCCAGAAACTCATAGGCGCCTGGGACCCCTTGGAACCCCTGGGGACCCCTGGGATGGAGATGGGCTGATGCTGATGGACAGACTGGCCATCTCAAAGAAAGTAAACAGACATGGATTTCAACATGGGAATTACCCTCTGGTTATGACTAACAGGTCGCCATGGTATAGATTCATGGCCCATAGAAATAGATGCTTTAGCGAACTTAATAGCATGGTGGATCTTTCCATGGCAATTTGTGAATGTCATAACCAGATGGTAATACCAACAGTGACATGGGTTGTGGCTTCTGGTGGCTTCCACATATGTCCAACAAAAAAATGAAGGTTTCGCTCTCATTTGAAGGAAGGCCGCCTGGTGACCGACAGAATCGGAATATTTCGGGCTCCGATGAATCGCATGTGTTCCCGAGCATCTGCAGATTCACCTTGCACCAGTGGACACTGAAAAACACCATTAATATCTTGATTCTTGATATCCATTGATTGGTTCATCCCCAAGAAAGCCCTTTTTGCATACCCCTTTTTCCAAACCCGGGTTTCGTAGTCCACCAAAATGGATAAAAGATTTTGAGGTCCCGTTTTTTCGCGGGGAAAAAAAACTGGGATTTTAAAAAATGACTCACCCTTTTGTACGGCTCAAGTGATATTCTTGGTCTGAAAATAGGGTACCCCATTTTATCATATTTTATTCACTGCTAAATCATCGGTTGTAAAATTGAGGTCCATAGATCACATCAACCACCAATTCCAATGAACGATCATCATTTTTCCTATTTAAATTGCCATTTGGGGATCTCCTCCATTTGAAAATCACCAAACCCGGTTGCCCAAGAGCTGTCAAGAGCTGCTCATGCAGGTTGTAACAGCTCGGAACAATTCCAATCAACCGTCGCTTGGCTTCGAACAAAAAGTTGGATGGTTCTGAATGATGTCCAGCCTCTTGCAATTTAACACTTAGCTATTGAAAATTGCCATTTAGTTCGTTAATTACATGAACAACTGTGATGTTCAATAGCGGCTATGCTAGTTTTCCAGAGGGTAGCCACCTCAAACAACCTCACTATGTGTGATGGTGATATACTGGAAAAGCAGGGAAAAACCATCAACCTCTGGGTCGGAGCGATCAGATTTGAGATTGCGGAGGAAATCCGAGGTGATTTTGATGGTTGTGACGGTGTTCATGCGTCGAAGTCTTATCATGATGATGATGATGATGATCATCATCATCATCATCACCATCATCATCATCATCATCATCAACCATCCTGACCTTCCAAAGATGACCATCTTGTAGCCATTGGGTCGCAAGCCGACCCATCGGCTGGCCGCCCGGTCCGGTCGACTGCCTTGGGGGAGGTGGCCGAAGATTCGCAATTTCTGATGAACGTCTGCGTCCACGCCGCGGCGTCTCTGACGAAGAAAAGCTGCGTCGGTTCATCCCGAGGGGTGGCAATGGAAGATCCCGAAATATGGAGGTTTTCGTGGGACATGCCCTTTTTGGAGCATGGAAAGATCATAGAATCATTGGAAAATCATAGAAAACTATGGGGAAATATTGGAAAATCCTCGACCTAAATCGAGATTTCAATGGAAAAAAAACATCGATCAATAAGGCATTGTCCAGGATATCTAGCTCAGGATCTTCGAAAGAATCCAGAAAAGACATGGCGATAATGGAAAGCTACAAGAATTGATAGGGTAATGATATTTACCATGCATGTTGTTCACTCTTTAGAGCGATTTGTGTCCCTCTTTACGTGATTCGTTTACTTTCCCATTGGTGCCCGGAATCAGCAAATCCAAGCTGAGCAAATTCAACATTCTTAAACGTTGTATATACCCACAATATCCCACCATGGGTTGTGAATTTCTTACCCTTCTGGCTTTTCTGAAAGTTGTTTTTCGTGTTTCCCCCCATTTATAGTGGCTAAATCACCATTTTCCTATGGTTTTATAGTAGAATCACCATGAAAAATCACCATGAAAATCACCATGGGCTCCTTGGCCTTTCGGCCTTGGCCTTCACCCCGAAATCGCCAAGGACTTGTCGGCGCAAGTACTGAAGTGGGAAACCGCCAGGAAATGGGAAGAGCCACTGGGAAGAACCGGAGCGTTTGTGGTACCATGCGGATGGTTGGCCCGCATTCGGAATGGTGATGAATTGGGGATGGTTAAAACATAGCGCTAGTTGCTTTACCCATATGCTCCATGGTGCTGGTATATTTACCTACAAAACTGGGTGATTTTTAGGGCAAATGTTGGTAAATATATTCCATACATGGAGCATATGGGTTATATTGAGCGATACGATTTTTGGTGGTCGTAAATTGGGATCACTCAAAAACACGATGAATTCATCAATATGAAAATTTATCCTAGTCTGGCAGATGAGCAACAACGAATTAAGCCCCTGTTTTTTTTTTGTGGCGTTGGATTGCAGTATCCAACACCAGTATCAGTGTGGTAAGCTACCTACAATAAACACAATAAACTTCCAATTCGGGATGAAGTAGGTAAATAAACATTAGATAGATATAGATGTGGTAGTGCCCTGCAATGGTTGACATTGGATCCAGCATATGAGAGTAAATTCCGAGCAATCCATAATCATTTGTATACCACTATAATTTCTACTAAACCGTTGGGGATTGTATTCTGAACTTTATGATATGTAGGAGTGAATCATATATACAATGTGAGGCCCCCCAGTTAAAAGTTGCAGCCCGTTTGAAGATCCAGGTATATGTATATAATATATTATATAATATAGATACAATAGATATATCAAGATACATTCAGCACCCATAGTTTACCTACATTTCACCTCACCCATTGGTTAAATTTGCCTGGCTTGCCACGAATCCAGGCGAATCTGCCAAGAGTTCACGGCACAGGCAAAGAAGGCGCGAAGCGATGCCCATCATTGGATCGAAGTGGTTGACCAAAAAATGAGGGCAAGAGCATTTGAAATGTTTGGATTGATTAAAAACATATATTCCCATAGGATCCAAGTATCTTCTTAGGAAGTGTTTGGGGTATAATTTACTATAATTTGGAGGGTTAAGTACCTTCTCAGACAGTGTTTGGATCCATAGGGTTAATGCTGGTTAATGCTCTTGACCTTATTTTTTGACTATGGCAGTGATTAAAATCATATATTAATAAATAAAAAAAACGATAATCACTGCCATAGATGTCCTTTTCCCATTGGTTGGTTGATTACTGGAGGGGGTTTGAAGAAACCCCCTTTAACAGGTACATGATGATAGATGGTATACCAAACCGGCCCCTCTATTTTTACCAAAAGGACATTATTGATTTGAAATGTGTGGATTGATTCTAGATGACACTCATCATGAAACACATCGAAACAGATATGTGTATTATTATGATATATAATGATACAATAGATACTCGTACATATATTTGAGTGAATCAGGTTTCTTTCTTCCAGACACGACTGGATGATCTTGTTTGCGATTTATAAGTTACAGTTTCCAACATGTCCAAATCCGTATGGGCATGGGATTGTACCACTGTACCACCCGTACCGCGCGTGCTCAAACCAAAGCAACACGGGGATTTTCCACACTATGGGGACAGCTTTGTGGCGTTGTGGCACATTTGCGGCTCGCTGGCATCCATTGGTGGTTTTCGATTGTTTTGTACTTTAATTAATAGAATTAATAGATTAATTATGGTATTTTCCAACGGTTTTCCTATGATGTTCCCATAAAGTTTCTCAATGTCTGACCAGGATGACGAATGTCTAACGGGAAAAGCGGTTGAATCCACCATTGTAGAGTCACCTTTTTTGGGGACTCAAAGGCCGATTGTGATCAGCTACAGGAATTAATCGGTCATCGGTTCCTAAAGTTTTCCACGACGGATCACTATTTTTCGCCATCACCAGAATAAGTGTTTGATGCCTATGACTTTTCTCCCATAACTTGAATCTGATGAAACACAAGCATCGCTTGAAGCTCTTGAATTTGGAGCGAAGGAGACCCCAAATGTTCGCAGCAAATGTTGCCTTCAGCCTTTTGATCCGGGAGGAAACAGACATGGGCATCACCCCGGAGCCCTTCATGCAGTTCAAGATGGAGGCTGCGGAAGACTGGGAAGTCAACCAAAAAAAAGTGAGACCCTCCGGCGTCATCAAACATGGAAAAGGAATAACCCATTTACCCTCCGGTAAACTAACATAGCTATTGAAAATGGCCATTTATAGTGAGTTTTCCCATGAAAAATGGTGATTTTCCATAGTTATGTTAAATTACCAGAGGGTTGGCCATGTCTCGTTCGGGGATTTTCCATGATTTTCCCATGTCCCGACCAGTCAAACGACCAGTCAAACTGGCGACCTTGACGCATTCAGCGAATTTCCCAGCCAGCCACTGTGGATCGAAGACATCTTAAGCACCAATTGATGGTAAACATCCCATTATTTGTAGGGTTTCAACCATCCAAGGTCAAGGTGGTGCAGGATTTCTTCCATTCATAGTTAGTATATTACATTATTGTAAATATCAAGATTCTATGTTACATATCGTATTAATGTCCCATACAAATCATATCAATAGCAATATCATCCACCGTAGCGTTGGATTTCGCTTCACAGGACATGAAGCTTCGCGGGAAACTCCAGCGGGACTTCATCGACTTCGTCTTGCGTCCCCTGTGGGTGCCTCTTCAAAAATCGCTGGCTGGGAACTTCCCGAACTAAACAATGGGAAAATCATGGGAAAATACGAGAACAACTCAGAAAATCATAGACAAATCTGGAAATCCCCTTATTAATGGAGGATATGGAGGTTTATAGCTGGGAATATGTTCAAACTTGCCATGTTTTTCCCCGGCAAGTTTGAGGATAGTGGATTGTTGTCCACCAACTGGACCTTGGGATGCTGAAGGACGTTTTGAGCCCAAAGATTGGTGATAAATGTACCCTCTGGTAAACTAACATAACTATGGAAAATCACCATTTTCAATGGGTAAATCCACTATAAATCACCTTTTCAATAGCTATGTTAAATTACCAGAGGGTAACAAAGTTGCATGTCAGGAGATCATTTATCAGCAAGGTTGACGAGTTGTGAAGTCCCTGCATGATGACTAAGCTATAGTCAGACGATGAAATGCGGAGCTTATGGAAATCCACTACACTTGGATGACAAAAGGTGGTCTAGGCTGTCCCAAGAGCACCGATGTGTGTGAAAACAGCTGTTCGTTTCGGTACAATGGATGAAGACTTTACCCCAGGCATCAGTTGCTATTTGTAAATGTGACGAAAACCGACAGTCGATTTCGATTTCGACTCTCATTTCACCGGCAGATAAATATGAACATGGTTAAAAATACATTAATGGAAATGCCAGCTAAATCATTTTCTCAACCTAAGACAACTTTGATGTATCCCTGGCGGGCGCTGAGGAGCCGTATACTCAGCAACTCGGCTGGCTGTCAGGTCTGTTTTCTTTTGCCAAGTCACTCTGTGGTTGTTTCAATACTATAGTTTGGTCATCAATGATGTAGTAAAAAAAGGGAAAACGCCGAAACACATGGGCATGTATGTACATGTTAGTGAGTGGTTTCTCAATTGAACTATTACTGCTAATATTACCCACAGACGCCGTGTGTTGCCCAGACATTAACATTGAGAATGTTGTGCTCTCGAATATATGATAGAAGAGATTGCAGAAAATACTGCGTATACGCAGTGTTTTCCAGTTTAGGATTCAAAGTTTTCAGAGCCTAGGTTTTAGGGCTTTGGGGTTTTAGGGTTTGGGGTTTTAGGGTTTAGGACGGTTTTGGATGGTTTAGGACGGTTTAGGATGGTTTAGGGTTTTAGGGTTTAGGGTTCGTCGTCTGGGAAATCTAAAAAACACTGGCCCTGCGCAGGTGTTTGAGCATGTTGAAGGATAATGTTTACCCTCTGGTAAACTAACATAACTATGGAAAATCACCATGTTTAATGGGTAAATCCACTATAAATGGCCATTTTCAGTAGCTTTTGTATGTTTACCAGAGGGTAAAGCATGTTTAAACGCCATTTGAAGCTTCCGGGCAACACCGACGAGCGAAGGCTTCAACCAATGGATGCGAAGCTGTTGGATGACAAATGGATGCGAAATGGATTGGTGAACACCGAAGACCGGAAAAATATAGAAAAAAGGGGATGAAGATCACTGCCACCCAAATTTTGATGCATTAATGTATCATAATGTATCATAATGTATATATATAATGTATCAAGGGGTGCCTCAAAATTGATGTCCTCCGGAAATCCGAAAAGCCTCTTAGCCAATGAGTCATAGATCTCATAGGCCGCAAAACTCTACTGGAGCCATGCTCGATTTGAACTATTGCCAATTGAACCCTCGTTGATATACCAGGTTTATTGGTTTATTGCGGACCGAAATGAAGCTTTTGGGAGGCCCTGACTCCTTCCCCACAGCGCGAAAAACGAAAGGTTGGAGCCGCAAATGCAGCGCTGCTTGACCAACTTGATCAAGTTCTTTGGTAGCATCTTCAGTGTCAGAATCCCTTGGGGAATGTGTATTTTCCCGACAGGAAGCGGCCCCATAGTTAGCTAAGTTGACTTGTAACTTGGGTCACTAGGGTGAATAGTTTATAGGGGTCATAACATGTCATAACTATAGTCTATACTTCGATGGTGTTACAAACCAACTTATCACTAGCGGGTCCCTTCCTAGAGGAGGAAGCGATGTTTCCACTTGGGACTTCGGAACCATCGAAAATTGACTGCAATCATTTCCTCTAATCAACCATCCAAAGTGTGGGGTTGAGGCCAAGAAACGAACCACGGCCATTTATCAGGTCAGGATTGGTTTGGACCATTGACATGTACCATGTAATATGGGCAATGCCCGCTTTGAAGGTACTGTGTTGAATGGAGCGCCTACTTGAATGCGTCTCTTCCCATTCGCAAGCCTTCGATCTTACGCATGTTTGGTACCTCCAACTGTTGGTACCTCGAATGGTTTTTTCATGTTCCAAGAATCGGGTACCCCTAAATCGATCCACCTGTACCTTGTTTTCACGCGCCCAAATGATGGTCCATTTTCATATCCATGATATCCATTTTTTCGCTGCCAGCTCCTTTTTGAATGGCACTCCGCTACAAGGAACCGCAACCTCTATGAGTTGTGCCGTGCTAAGTGACGAGACGGTGGCAAAACGTGCTGAGACACCGGCGGAGCATTCCCCCCTGGACTGTCGGACAATCCCCCAACGAAAAGATGCGAACAAAAAGTCACCAGCGGATCCGAGTAGATAACAGTCATTGGCAGAGAAAAAAATATATATATATATATATATATGGATCATTTACGGATCATAATTCTGGATCATGTTCCCATTCCACTAAGATGTCACTAATCTCGCGGCTGCCCGTGCGAACTAAACTAGGCGTCGGATCTATGGCAGCGATCAACTGGATGAGATGCCAGACGTGCCCAGCTCAGCTGTTTTTTGAACATAAACCATGGTGATTCTACCATAAAAACCATAGGAAAATGGTGATTTAACCACTATAAATGTTGATTTTTCATGGTGATTTCATGGTGATTTAATGGTGATTCTACTATAAAACCATAGGAAAAGGGTGATTTAACCACTATCAATGGTGATTTAATTAATGGTGATTTTTCATAAATGGTTTAACAATGGGTTAACAATGATTAATCCATTGACATCTGGAGGAAGTCGTTGCCTGGTTGGTGGTTTGGAACATTTTTAAGTTGTCCATTCAGTTGGGAATAATGATCTCAACTGACTAAGATTTTTTAGAGGGGTTGAAACCACCAACCAGATTAATAACTGTAATAATAACTGGCCTAATGTTAACATAGTCAAATAGTCACTACCTTTTGTTTCTTGGAATATCGTTCATTTTATCAATGTTCTTATCATTGGGGATATATAATCACGTGGCATGCTGGGCCACCGTCTTCCCATATGTTTAATGTAATTGAAATGTTTATACAATAGATCGAAACATCCAGAAGCCGACGATTGCATGCGAGTCATTGTGTAAAGCAATGCATTTTTATTTTTGACATCCTTTCGATTGCCTGAGTTGCAGCAAGAGCCTGTTGTTTGTTGTTGCCTTTCGCTGCGAGACCCCCATGTTTTGGCTATTTTATTGTTTGTTGTGTGTATGTTGCGCGTGCGCGTATGTTATTGTATGTTGTGTATGTGTGTGTACGCCGTGAAATGCTAAGAATACGCACGGTAGCTTGCACGTTGTTTGTATGTTTTGTCTTTTGGGGGTGACGTTGTTGTTTTTTTTAAGCCCGGGCAAACCTTTGATTATTAGAACAATTTGGATCAATTTCGTTGGTTAGCGGACTGAGGGCTTAACAGAAGGCTGAAATTCTATCTTTGGCCTTCTTTTCATGCTTTGCGTGCTTTAGGAACTTTAGTCAATGTGTTGGCTAACTTTTTGAAAAGGTACCCTACAAATAAAACCCAAGCCAACAAAAAAATCCCTGATAACACCAGGCGCTGTGATGTCAGCTGGGCAGGCTGATTTCATCCAATTTGTTCAGCAGTTCCTGAGATCCAAAACAAGATTATGAATGGGCGATGCAAGCAAATAATGACACTGAAACCATACCTTTGCCCCAACCAAGCAAGTGATAGCACACTCCCAAATAATGTAATTGGTTTCGATTGAATCCCTGGCTTCTGCGAGTGCCAATCTAGCATAGTCTGGCCATGAATTATTGAGTATTGATTGTCGGCAGATCACCGCTGCCATCGGGAAATGTTGCCTCAAATGACACAGACCTGTTGCTTTTAAGTGGACTTCGGATGATTGACAAGTTGTGTGTTTTACCTTAGAACGGATCCTGCCCCACCATAATGACAGATGGCCCCCCTTGCTTCACTACAGTAATGTTTTCTGAGGTGTAGTGTGGGCTGGAATGGCTCAGGAACAGAACCGTAAGCAGCTATATGTCTACCCCACTTCAAGACTTTACTATTTACTAGTTTAGCTTAGTTTCCTTCAAGCTTATGACTCAATTGACTCAATTTACTCAATAACTTTTGTAACTTTTGGTTTACTCAGTCTCATATGTTGGCAGACTCAGGATGCAAAGTTCCCATTTCCCGTGTGGTGATGAGCAGTTTCGGATTCGGTAGCGTCATGCTCTGGACCTTGCAGGCTTTGCCGATTCGGTAGCGCTCCGGACCTTGCAGCATTTTTTTTTTAATTATTGGGTATTACAAATAGTCAAAGGCGCTGTTAAGATATTCACCTTGCACGGGGGGGGGGCAAACTGCTCCTCTCCCCTGCAAGGTCCGGAGCGCTACCGACCTTGCAGCCCCTCTCCCCTCCAGTCATTGGGGCATGGATTTTCGAGCGTGCAGCCCCCCTCTGAATATTTTCGATCCGCTGTTAAGATAATACAGGGGAGGGGCTGCAAGGTCCGGAGCGCTACCGACCTTGCAGGGGAGGGGGGCAAACTGCCCCCCCCCTGTACAAGGCGAATATCTTAACAGCACCTTTGATTTTTTGGGTAAAACTTTAATTTTTAAAAAAATCCTGCAAGGTCCGGAGCGCTACCGAATCGGCAAACCCTGCAAGGTCCGGAGCGCTACGGAATCCGGAATTGTTCATCACCACATGGGAATGCTTGAGGGAACTTTGTATCCTGAGTAAAGCAAAAGTTACAAAAGGTATTGAGTAAATTGAGTGTGAGTCATAAGCTTGAAGGAAACTAAGCTAAACAGTAAAAAATAGTAAAGTCTTGAAGTGGGGTGGTAAACATACGGCTTACCACTGTCTTCTTGCTGGAAAAACATATGCTGCAATTATTTGTACATTTTTCTTGTACATGCAATCAACAGGGAGGAAATTTAATGACGTGGCATGCTGGGCCACTGTCTTCCCATATTTTTAATGTAATTGAAATGTTTATACAATAGATCGAAACATCCAGAAGCCGACGATTGCATGCGAGTCATTGTGTAAAGCAATGCATTTTTATTTTTGACATCCTTTCGATTGCCTGAGTTGCAGCAAGAGCCTGTTGTTTGTTGTTGCCTTTCGCTGCGAGACCCCCATGTTTTGGCTATTTTATTGTTTGTTGTGTGTATGTTGCGCGTGCGCGTATGTTATTGTATGTTGTGTATGTGTGTGTACGCCGTGAAATGCTAAGAATACGCACGGTAGCTTGCACGTTGTTTGTATGTTTTGTCTTTTGGGGGTGACGTTGTTGTTTTTTTTAAGCCCGGGCAAACCTTTGATTATTAGAACAATTTGGATCAATTTCGTTGGTTAGCGGACTGAGGGCTTAACAGAAGGCTGAAATTCTATCTTTGGCCTTCTTTTCATGCTTTGCGTGCTTTAGGAACTTTAGTCAATGTGTTGGCTAACTTTTTGAAAAGGTACCCTACAAATAAAACCCAAGCCCAAAAATATCCCTGATAACACCAGCCGCTGTGATGTAAGCTGGGCAGGCTGATTTCATCCAATTTGTTCAGCAGTTCCTGAAATTTGTAAACGCAACATGAATAGATGATACATGACTGTGACACAATCAAAACAAAGCAAGTAATGGGTCTTTGAACCGGGTTTGAAAACATCAGTGAAGCAAGGGGGGCCATTCGTCACCGTGGTGGGGCAGGATCTAAGGGAAAACCAATACCTTGTCAATCATCGGAAATCCACTTAAAAACGAACAGGCCTGCGTCATTTGAGACCACATTTCCCAATGGTCCGATGATAGTAGCAATCTGCCGACTAGCATTCGCAGAAGCCAGGGATTCAATTGAAACCAATTAGATTTTTTGGGGGCGTCATCAACTTCTTAGTTGAGGCAATGTCATGGTTTCATTTTCACCTCAAATATAGTTCACCACTTTTCTGCAAACAATAATGGGAAAACCCAATGACTATTTGATTATGTTAACAGCAGGCCAGATAACATGGTTTTTAAACCTATTTAAAACTTACAGTTGATTACGTTAGGTCAACTTTCTAGTTTACTATTAGCTATAGAAAAACAAATGTTAGTAGGATTAGTAGGTCAACTATAGTTTAATTTTGTTTGGTATATAATGACATATTATCTATAATTAGTTAATTAATATGTTATCATCTATGTCAACTATGGTTTATGGTATATTATGATATATATATATATGTATATATATATACCCATAATGGGGGAATGGATCTGGAGGTGTCCTAAAATGGGGTAGCCCCAAACCAATTTTAAGACACCTCCATTTCACCATTTATATACAATTACCCTTACCTTAATGATAATATTCAATGAATATATATGAATATCCAGTTATGGAGAAAAATTTCATAATATGGGGGTTACAGTATGTGCCATGATGGGGATTTAATCATAATCTGGTGTCAGAATAATATCAACCATGCATAAATCATCGCCTAAGGAGCCAATGGTTTTTGCAGTTCTGCATCAAGTTTCTGGAGGGTACCATTGTAGAGGATAGACATGTGATAATTATAGGTCAATATAGATTGGATAGCAATATGATATCGGTGTGACTGTCTCAAAAGGGATATTTGAATGGGGACAACGCCAACCACAACGGGATATGAGTTGGGTATAAATGGGATGTAAATGGAGTATACAGAATATGACATTTAGGTGAGTCTGAAAATGTGGTATGGATATAGTTTTATAGTTTTGTAAAACATATATCCCTCACTTAGGTTTTTTTTGTTGAAACCAATATTTTTGGGGATGGCTGGAAACCACCAACCCAGTCATCGTTTCGGGGTGGCCCATGGTGGCATCGTTGTGTCAGATTCCACCAACCGCCAAACAAACTTGACTCCACCTGGGCCAGATTTTTCATCGATGATTTTCCCAGCCAGATTCTTACCCTCTGGTAATGACTAACATAGCTATTGGAAATCACCATGTTTAATGGGAAAATCCACTATAAATGGCCATTTTCAATAGCTATGTTAGTTTACCAGAGGGTAATCTGTAATGTGGTCAATACAATCCAACCAATCGGATGTTTTGTTGCGCTTCGCAACCATGGGATTTTCTCGGAAACCTTTCGTTGAAAGTAAGAGTCACCGTGTTTTTGCGACATGTCCAAGGTGAGTTGAAAACCATCATTTAACTGACTGCTTGGTTACCTCATGATAGCCTATTTGGCCATTTGATGCCATTAAAAATATTCCTACCCCATCTTATTATCCTTGTTGATTGATAGGTTTCCCTACTATGGGTTATCATGATCATAATCCCCCATGAGTTGTATAGGCAGTAATTAGTCCCTATATCAACCAGTCAACCAGATATTTTGTTCATGACCGAATTTGATGCCATTTGGCATGTTTTTTAAATAGCTGACATCCCCATAGGATCCAAGTATCTTCTTAGGAAGTGTTTGGGGTATAATTTACTATAATTTGGAGGGTGATTTGTACCTTCTCAGACAGTGTTTGGATCCATAGGGATCCAACGTATGTTGTGCCTCAAATTCCAACATTTTTGTCTGGTTCCAAGTCGCAGAAGTCTGGATGCTCTTCGACTCACTCTGTCGCAGCTCCCCAACGTCTCCCTCCGTATGATGCTTGCTGTACCCTCTGGTATATAATGACTAACATAGCTATTGAAAATGGCCATTTATAGTGGTTTTTTCCCATTAAATATGGTGATTTTCCATAGTTATGTTAGTTTACCAGAGGGTATGCATCACGAGTCATGAGAGAAACCATTTTTTTTGTCCTGGAAAATGGATGATCAAACAATGTCAAAAACAAAAACGATCAGCCATTTGTATGTTATATACTTTTGTTTTCAATCTCAAAACGACCAGCAATACTAAATTACATGGAATGTTCCATGTTTGACCGTTAAATATTCAAAAGCGAATCCAACGATGTCCAGTATCACTGGTTTCAATCCCATGTTTTCAATGCTAATTTTCCACGATATAAATTATTCCAATTCACCCAATGATTCTTCCAAGTATCCCATCATTTGTCCAATTAGCCCATATTCAATGGCCATTTCAGGAACCTAAATTGGAGGTACCTACCATATATATGGCCTATATATAAGGCATATGTAAGGGAATATCCCCCCAAAATATGGCCAAACATATGGTACTAACGTACCTCCATTTTAGGATCCTGAAGATCTCCCATTGACATATGATCATGTTCAAAACAAAATCCCAGCGAATCTCCTATGAATCCCTATGGTCCATCCATCAATCCCAATGGGTTTTCGAATGGCTTTTCCAATCCCAATGGTCAGATCCCCAATGGCTTCAATGGCTTCGGACCATGGCCATGGCTTGCTCCAAGGATATGGATCTGCTGTTGCCCAACAACCCCGTGGTTCGCCCGGTGCACCCAAAGCCGCCCGCCGGGCCGGCGCCGGCCTCGAACGGCGGCACGCCGCGCTGAGAGGAGGAGCGACTTGAGGTTTTTTTGGATGGGGGAATGACGGGGAATGGTAGGATTATCATGGGAGAATGAAGGATATATCTATGTGTCCCATTTTTGGGGATATATGTATATTAAGAATGGGAGAATCATGAATAATTTCAGCCATATAATTCAATACATTTCATTGCTACAATGGCAAAACACTGGAATAATGTGTGACTAATAATCATGCGATATTTGGAAGAACTGGCAGGATCATATTGGATTTTTTTCTGCAAATCATGGGATATTCATGACCTCTCATGGCAAAAGCATCCCAAAAGCACCACCAGGGCCGAAGTCCAAAAAGGATGAGGTTTGAATCCCCAAGGGAAGCCTTGGAGCACAACGATTTAACCACTTTCAAAAGCCAGAAAAGTTCCCATTCGGGACGACATCCTACCCATTTCTATCCCCATATCTGCTGAGTCAATTAATAGTTTATGTGGGCTGGGAATGTAACCTCGTCGCAATGGCCATCAGCTGACGTATCCTCAGTTTTTGCAGACAAAATAGAAGAAGCGCATATAATAACCAACGGTGTGATAAAAGAAGACTTGTGATGTAAACTATAGACACCACCGAAGTTTAAGGATAGTCCATGGCAGAATGGGCATGGGTCAAGAGTTACCACCGAAAACAATCGCTGTTATTCACATCCCTGGTGACCGTCCTAAGATGTGCAGCATTTCCAGGACCAGAATCCCCAGAGCACCCGCTAGTGAAGATAGATTCGAGCATGTGCAGCAAGGAGAATACACTAAAACTAGTTTTGGGCTGTTGGATAAATACAAAGGTGTGAGGTTCGTAATTGCGAACAAAAAAAAACCTGTCAACATTTCAACAATAATATACAAGAATGAACAGCTTCTTAGCCAAACAGTTCAATTGTTTTTTGTGTAATCAGCCGCGCGAGGACCAAGACTGGTGCGACCTCCCTCGAGTGACATACTTGGCAGACACACATGGAGATGTCTGATAATGGTCTGTACAATACCTCCAAATGGGGGTTTCCATAAATGGGGATACCCCACAGTGGATGGTTGAAAAAATGGAACATCCTACTAAAGTGGATGATTTGAGGCTACCCCCATTTTAGGAAACCTCTATATAAATAGTCATTTTAAGAGGCAACATGTTCTCAAAATTCTGATGTGACTGATGATCCAAGTGGGAATGTTACATGTGCTCCAGTTCCTATATATCAACAAATAGAATCCCGTTCCTGTATACCCTCTGGTAATTTAACATAGCTATTGAAAATGGCCCATTTATAGTGGATTTTCCCATTGAAAATGGTGGATCTTTCCATAGCTATGTTAGTTTACCAGAGGGTATCAACAAATGGGGAACCATGCAATAAACAGCGATTGCATCAGCTAACAATGACCTTTTTTTCATGCAGGGCAGGCTTGTCACTTGCTGAAAACAAACAAACACAGAGTTTCCGCCATCAATCCCCCATCAATGGGACCATACTCCACTGGATGCCAACAGCAATGGTCACGACGTCTCCGCCCAAAGGGCGGGCTTGCTACAACGTCGTGTGTCATATGTCAGGGTGCTGGAGAAACAAATTGAAGCGGAATGGCTCAAGATGATTGGCCCCACATTACTTCGATTACTTACACCATGTGGTTTAACGTCTGAAATAGGATAGCCGAAACATCAATCTCTGATGGTTGATCATGATTATCCCCATTGAGCAATGTGGTTTTAACCATGAAAAAAACCCTATTTTCAGACAAGACCATGTGGTAAAACATCGGATGCAGCGTAACTCTTCCCAAAGATATGGGGCTATGCTGGCTATGCCTCCATTGAAGTCCCTGGATTCTGAGTTGAAACCAGGGACCTAGCACTTTACCATGGTGTTGTTATCCCCATACTTCCAATAGCAGCGTTTTGAGCCAAAAAAAAGCCATGAAAAATGTCAACAAAATTGTACATTTTTTATGGTTAAAACATTTTTTTATACAATTTGATGATATTTGATGCACACTTTTGTATGCTCTTGTCTCTGTGCAGCACTCTGATCATCCTCAGCGAGACCTGAATGATCGAATCATTAGTTTATGGGATCGTGTACTGATTGTGTCAGACACACAACTGGTGGAATTATCTGACGTTAGATCAATTTAGATCATGATGTTGCTGGAAATATATGGACATATCATATTTTGATGTAGTTAATATAGTTGACATCGATGATATTGCAATGCAACAATCTGGCATCCTACTTGTCGGTACCTATGAAGTTGATTCATGGTCATTATCCTGGACAGAATCACGGTCTCGAACACTACCATTATGATCGTCATGATGATAACCTCAATCATCAGAATGAGATATAGCAAGAAGAAAAACAAACACAACAACAGCAACGATAAGAATAATAATCACAACAACCAGAAAATAAACAAGAACAAGAACATTAACACATATATTTTTTAAAAAAAGGAGCAGCAACAACAACAACAACAACAAAAAGAGTTAGAGTAACAACAACGACGGCAACAGCAGCAGCAACGGCAACAGCAACAACAACAGCAATAGCAATAAGTAGTTATATATATATATTATCATTTTATAATTAATATGAATTGAATATACGACTCTATACAATTATTCATAGAATTGGATGATGGGAACATTTACAGGAAATCCCTATATTTGATGGCAGGCAAAAACAATGGTTTCCGGTTAAGATTTTCCCTTAAACCAATCCATTGAATTATACACCATCATAATCATAACAATCATTTCATCTTGCTGAAAAACCGAGACGCGCCGCGGGCGGCGTGGCTCGGCACTCCGGTGTCCGGATTTTAGGTGGGAACGACCTTGCGCGCAAGGCGGCAACTTGCCGTGCACAATGAAGATGGGTTTGAAAGCATAGAAGTGGAGATGTTTATCCGAAACGGAAGACTAGATAAGATTTGTTTCCAATTCTCTTTTGAGATATTGATAGTCCAATGAATTAGACTCATATTATATATATATGTTATATATGTTGTGAAGATCATTCGAAGTGTAGTTGCGAAGGGAAATCCCATTGATCCGGCCATTCACAGCATGGCCGAGTGGCGACCAAAGATGTCAACGAAAGTGGTCGACGACTTGGCGGCGTTTCACCAAAATGTTCGTGCGGGGCCGATCCGCGCCGATCCCACTGGGAACACGTGGTGCCACGTGGTGCATAGCTGGTGACCAGACCTGGTGGTTTCAAGCATACATATATTTCATTTGTTCATCCTGAGCTTTTGATGCCCACGTTTTGCATGTTTGTTTATTTTAGTCATATTAGTTGGAACATTATTCATTATTAGCCGCTATGAACCATTATTAACCATTATTAGCCACTATGGACCATTATTAACCATTATTAACCATATTACTAACCATTATTCACCATTAATCATCCCCAACCAGATGGCAACGTGTCGTGCCAGATGATGGCTAATCCACGTCGTCTCTTTTCTGGATTCATCATAACCGGAATCGGAATCCCCCACGAAACTCACCCGACAGGGGCAGCATGAATCTACAACCGACCATCTCTGATATTATTTATTTATATATATATATATGCATGGATTTATATGGATATTATATGATTATATATATATATGGATATATTATATATCTGGGTAAATTATAACGACCTCACTATTCTCCCGAAGCCTCGAATCATGGTTTATGTTAGGAAAATCGTCCCCAAATGGCCGAACTATTCAGGTTCGTGAATTATCATAATTTACCCAGATTAATGTGTAAATTAGACTTATGGTATACATGGATTATAAAATATAAAGAAAAACAACCTTACTATATATATATGTGTGTGTCTCATTATATAGTCAAACCATATACCCTATAAATCCATATATATATAATATGTATGCTATGTCCTTCCGACCATCTCTGATAATATATATATGGATTTATATGGATATTATATGATAATATATATATATGTATAATATATATATATATGTAGTATAGATAAATATACATGCAAGTAGCCACTGATCAACCCAACTGGTGATGGTAGAAATTCTTGGCTATACAGCCAGGCATCGGGACGAGCGGCGCCGCGGCACAGAGGTGCACCATGGGATGGGTGGATCTATGGATTTTTTCTACGGAAAATGGCATGGAAAATGGCCATTCAATTGGGATTTGATATGGGAGTTTTCGGAGATTTACCAAGGATTTTCGAATTGGGATGTGAATTTATGGTGATTTTTGAAGTTTCAATGGAATTTCATTGGGGTTCAATTCGAGGTTTATGTATTTTAAGGAGATGTAACTATGAACCAATGGGGTTTTCTAGCAAATTATGGTCCTTTGGGATCCTCTGGGTATGAAAATTGTGTAAGACTGACCCTCACTCTAAGACAAGGCCCATTTGTGCAGTCGTATTTGATGTGTAGGTCGAATTGTCTTTATTCGTGATGACTTACGTGAATTTCAATGGTGATTTCTTGAATTATGACGATGTATGGTGATTTATGTCTATGTTAATTTGATGTCTTAAAACGGCGGACCCCAAACTCATCCAGAATTGGTCATGTTTCATAGGGAAACTTATGGATTTTAGTGCACCTCTATTCTCCGAAACTCCGCTTATGGTGGCTTAGGTTTCGTCAAGAGATGATTTCACAGATTCTGGGTTGATTTGTTGTCTTTTTGGTGAAATCGGTCAAATCCAAATCGAACAAAACAACATGTTCACTGTAATGTGAATCTTTGAACATCGCAAGTTTTTGTTTGTAATTTGATATTCAAAGAGTCAAATTCTTTGCTGCTTTGGGGACAGATTTGTTCGAGGCTGTGCATGTCCTATTGTTTGGTCTATTGATTAATGCCCTATAGATCCAGTTTCGTTTTTAAACCCCTATTTAATGAGTTTCAACTGTTTTTGTCAATGTGCTACTATGTATTATTAAGCCAATTGATTAACATCAGTTATCATTTGGATACCCATGATTAATTGATGATTAATCCCCCAATCAATATCTGATGTATTATATTAAGCCAATTGATTAATTAATTAATTAACTAATTAATGAATTAAGCCATTTGATTAATCCCCAGTTTTCAGTGTCCCAAAGTCATTTTCCATTTTTCCCCATCGCTGCCCCTAAAGGCGCCGTTGTTTTCCACACCTCTGTGGGAGCCGGTCGTGCCAGCCGTGGATGAAGGTGCCGGGGCCGGGTATGACCTATCGATATGATGAAGATCTCCTTTGATAGGGTAAAAAAAAGCTGTGTTTGTTGTTTTTTTTGAGATGAATCTACCCATGTTTTTTGGAAATTCCTTGGGGGTTGTGTCTTATTTTTCTATGCCATCTTTAAGCAAACCCAAAAAATATTCCCATCAGGTTCCCGAATCTTTCGGGTGACGACACTGTGTCCCCATAAGGCCGAGCTCAAAATTTGCCAACCACGTCAGTATGGTTGTGATCATAATGATTATGGCGATGATGGCGATGTTTGTATGTGTATGACGATATATATATATATACATATATATATATATATATTATATATATGTCCACATAAATAATATCTACGCGATGCATGTATAGTATACATGCCGGGAAAGGACTTATGTGTAAAAAAAATCCTGATGCGGGGAAGGGCCAATATGCGATGGCATTGGCTGCTGTGCTAGCAAGCAGCTTATCCGGCTTATCCTGCGTCATTCCTGAAAGGGAGCATGAACCGAACAGCTCCTACGCTTTGGTTGTGTCTGTTGCGGAGGGAAGGTCTATGATAAGTATGCAGCCAACACTGTGAGCAACACATGATACAAGCCATCAGTGGTCTGGGCTCTGGGGGTCTAGTCTGGCTTGAGCTACAGGAACATCACCAAGCAAAAACAACTCCAACTTTTGAAGATAGTTTGTCCCAGATAGTAGCAAAAGTGTCATCCTCCAAAAAGATCCACCATCTTCAGACAAAATCCTCGGTGGATTTCTCATTTC